CCCCCCCCCCCAAACTGCCCCCCAGAAACACGGATTATCGGTACAAATGACTGATGTCTATAGAAAATTTCGAAGCTTCCATGAAAGTTTTGATCAAAGTGAAATTATAGAAGTCTTGATGCTCGATTAAAGAATAAAAATATATTATCGAGGTTACGTAACTTACGTTGGTAATAACCAAAAAAAAAGTATAAAATTTTTTTAGGGGAATTCTACAAGTCTCACACGACATGAAAATTTCGAAGGGGCAGTTGGTAACACTTTACGCGAAGAGCTGAAAGTTTCGAGGAAGAAGTAATGACCGTACCGTGGTAAATAGACAGTTGACATCGCGAGTAACGAACGTGAATAGTCGTTCGTAATTCTTTTTGAACGAAATTTAATTTTTTGAAAAAATTTTTGGATCTACTTTTATCTATGAATGCGATGTCATTTTGCGGTAGTGGCTGTTTCGAGTGATTTGATATGTCGTTGGTCCTCTTATGCTATTTTGTAGTTGGACGTAGGACGTGTATAAGTTACTTCGAATTTACCTCTCTAGGCGTTAATCGAACGATTGACGAATTTTCGAACGTACTTGGACATGATGAATTGGGTTAGGTTAGTTTACAGGTAGACTATTGGATTTGGATTATTTAATTTATTGCGTCGACCGACGACACTGGTCTCGTTAAATCATTATTCCCACCAAGCTGATATTAATTGACGCGTTATGCAGTATCTGTGGAGGCTGACAATGGTAATTAGAAATTATGGAAAATGAAATTAGTAGTGAATTAAAAAAATTATAATTTAGAGCAATAACGACAATGATGGAAGATGAATGAAAAATTTGTAATTTTAATCGGCTGTTTTAGTAAATTTACCAATTTTTTGGTACGTTCAATAATACATTGTTGTAACGTCGGTATTCTCTCTTTCTTGATCATCGAAGTGCTGGTAGCAATTTTACGGTCTTTTCTTTTTTTTTTTTTTTCGCAAGTTCAAGCGAAATTTATTTTTGAACGAGTCGATTTCAACGGCGTCAAATAGTTAATTAGCGAAACCACGCAAGTACCTCGTTATTCATGGCTTTACTTAAACCTGCCTTATAAATCACAGGATCACATGCACGTCCACGTGTATATATCTGCGTGCAAATAAATGGCATAAAATTAAGCGATAGGATCTTGTAATTTTATTTTCTTATCCGGCCCGCTGCATGGGACATTAATATTCGAGGAACGAGACTAACAGAGACATCGAAATTTTGGCACGTAGCAATTTTGTTTTCGGTTTTAAATAACGAAATTTGCATCCTCCAAGATCCCGGGTCTAAACGTGCAATTTTTGTTTTACACGTGCGGGATCTCGTATGGACCATGTAAAACGATCAATCAGTGATCCGTCCCGTACGTAATTTTTTTTATCAGGGATGTATGTATTTCGGAAATTTTTTTATTGACGAGTAGCTGCCTTTTTTTTGGTATTCGGGGAAAAAAAATAAGCGCTAATTACTATCTACACTTAAAAAAAATCTCAATTATATCCTTAATGGAGAAAAAATGCGGAGCAGC